AAAAAAAAAAACTGACTGCCATTTGTTGTCACAGATTTGAATACGACAACTGTTTTTTTTGTTCCTCAACTTATCAACGCTGTTTAATAAACAAATTTTTGGTGATTCACTGTAATTAATTGAACTTGATTTTTTTTCTTCTCAACTACAGTCTTGCATTTGAGGTTTTATAGTTGTGTTGAGAAATAGATTTTTTGGTTGGATTAAAAACTAATCAAATGTTGCTTTAAGATGTTGTTATTTGCTGAAAAACGGGAAAAAAGAAAGGGATAACTTCAAAAGATTGACATATTGTTTCACAAATGAATAGCACTTTTATTCTTCTTGCATTTGTCACTAAATTTTTTTTCTTTTTTTTATAAACATCCGTTCTTTACCAAATTTCTTTCCCTTATTTGCTCTTTTTTTTTCGCCTTGCTTAATTTTCTCAGGAGTTGTCTCAAAAAATTTTCTAAGATAAAAGTTTTTTTTTTTTTAATGTCACGATAAAGGTCAACAAACATCAGCAATTTTTATACTGGTAAGAAGGTAACAAAATTTAAAATGAAAAAAAAGAAAAGTTAAAAAACTGTTTTTACAAGTTTAGCTATTCGAAAGAAATCTGAATTTTTAACATCTTTTTTTTGCTTAACATTAGTTATCGGACATTTCAATTATTTGACTTTCAATAAACTGCATTTGGGAACATTTTCATTGAATCAAACAAATAGTTTTTGGACTGTTTCACTGCAAACCGTTACCAGTGATATATTTTTGCACAAATGAAAATAAAAAACTAAATTTAGAATTGTAAGTTTGTGTAAGATGTAAATTTAGTTTTTTTTTACTAAACTTTTGCAGTTTAGCATAAACAACGAAGTTTGAAAATGTTGTTGAAGTGAATATAAAGTTGACTTGATTGAGGTACATTTTAAGTATAAGTTTGGTTTAAATTGAACAATAGTAACTGATCAGCTATGTTGACGTTTGAATTATTTTACTGAAAAAAAATCTTCAACAACTTTGAAAATTCCTTTTGAAAAAAGAATTATTTTATGTTTTCAGCGTAATTGTAAGAGTTTCAACAGCAAACACATCTCTTCTTTACTCGGTAACGGCTGAGTTGTAATTACAAAGATTATTAAGCACAGCAGTTGTTTAGAGTTGACAAAAAAAATTTATAATAATTGTTGAAAAATTAATTGCTATAGACTTTTATGCGAATTTAGAGGAGGAACAGAAAAAAATGAAACATATCAAGGATGACATCAGCAGTAAAAAGTTTGACTATATTTAGTGAATTCTATTTTAAGGATTTAATGGATGCATTGGCAACGCTGAATGCTGCAACACCAAAATCTAATGCAATATGGACTATTCGTATGATCAAAGGCCGTGATGATACTCGAGTTGATTTTCAGGTTTTTTTTTTTTTCTTGCATCTTTAGCAATGTTGCAAACATTGTTTCAGCAAATTTTTGCTGTCAACAGTTTGCCTATAAATGAAGAATACCGATTTTAAATCTTTATTCTAAAAACATTGCATTACATAAACTGCTTAAAAAATTCTTCGTTTTTTTCGTTATTCTTCGACATTTGTTTGTTGACTGAATCGAAAAAAAGTTAGTGCATAAACGAAACTAAGAGAAGATGTGTTTAGGAGTTTAGTCAGTTTGTGAAATCAGTTTATCAACTGTCGGATAAAAAGGAAAAAAAGGGAAACCTAGCAAGGGGTTCAATCGATAGAAAGCTTTCGTTACAGGATGCAGTTGCCAGAAAAGCTGAGGAGACTTTCAACGTGAGCTTTTGATTTTTACACCTCAAAAAAAGATCTATGTTTCTTTTTTTGTCAGTAGCTGTGGCAACAGTTGAATTTTTTGTTTTGATGGATATTTCAACATTTTGTCTTAGTCTCAATAAAAAAATATTTGTTGATAAATTTATTTGAGTTAATGTTTAGACAATACTTTTAAAGGTGTGACGTTATTGAGCTTTAAAGCTACTTTATATGGGTGACAGACTATTTTTCAGTCATTAGATGCTGACTGTGATGGATACGTAAATTTGGAGGATCTAACCCAATTTTTTGAGGTAATTATCATTCGAGTTAAGTTAAAGTTATATAAATTTTGTGTTTATTATTTAAAACTCATATTGTTAAAAAATATGGACATTGGCTGTCCTCATTTGATTCAAAAGTAAATGCTAAGATTAACGGGATGAAAACTGAACTGAGGTCATGGTTTAATATGTTTGGTTCTTTACCAACTTTTTAATCTGATGAAGAGTTCTTGCCTAGAATCTAGGATACTTTCCTTTTTTAAGATTACTCTTAATAGAATAGCTTAATAGCACTTGGAATATAGGGATAAAGTTCTTTGTTAATTCTTCTGTAACCTTAACGAGTGAAATTTCAGTGAACTTTATATCTGTCATTGGTTTTGAGTTACGTCGTCTTTATTAGATTGGAAATGTTTTGGATCAAAGTTTGTTTCATTGGTCACTCGTGTTATGGCAATTTGGACATTAAGAATTAATTAGCTTTCTTCTTTTGAGAAAGCGGTAGTTTATTATTTTAATTAGAATTAGATAAATAGAGAAAAATGACTATAAAAATTCTAAGTAATAACTTGCGTTAACACAACTTTTATTTTACCGCAGAAACTATAGCTCTTTTGGATTTTGCTTGATTTTTGGAAACCTTATATCGTCTAATTTGTCGGATAGTTTTCTTTAGGCTTTGAACTTTAAATTTTCCTCACCACAACTTTTGAGTTGCTTAGCAAACACTTTTCACTTTGCTCTTGAAGCACTTTCTTGCAGGAAAACTACTTTTTTTTTTGCAACTCATAACAATATAGCGAACTTCTGTAATTAATGCCACTCTATTTTGTCACCATATTTAACCAAGAGTTGGCCCCTGTTTTTTATCTATTTGTCGAAAAAGAATTAATATAGCGAAGTTTTATTTTACACCTAAATTATTGGTTTGTTGCCTGCAGACATGTGTAAAATACGATCTGTTTAATATAAGTTATCGTTCTTCTTTATTGACTCATTACTTGGGGGTACTTTATTTGGTATTAGCAGGAAGAAATTAATAGTCGGATTTGACTAATGCTCAAATAAACGGAAAAAAACCCGATTACTGACAGTTTTATTTTACAGCACGTGAACGAGCTGGACAGGTTTGTTCTCAAAAAATGCACCATTGGACAAGCTTTAGGAACTGTGTAAAATTTGGACAGGTGATTTTTTACTGATTGGAAATTTTCCATGTCATGTCACAGTGGTTTCTTCTGAATGCTAAAATTTCAGTATGTTATCTTAAAAGCAGATTTGATGTATTTCATATTTGCCATTACTTTTTTCTAAGTTACGGATTAATGTAGTCTTCGAAGCACTAATTTTGCAACCTTCTATTATGTTGGTTGTTTGTATTACCACTGTTGTCTATTGTGTTTGAATGCTTTATCTCTTATTTTATGTCTTATTAACTTCTGTGACAAAAAATTGGTTGAAAGCTACCAACAAAATTTGTGATAGCCAGAAAAGATCTAGTGAGGCATTTTCATGTGTAATTAAAGTGAAAGGATAGTTTTCAGTCGTCAAAGAATTCATTTCGTGTAAAAGATGAAACTGAAGATTCGTTTGTTGAAATAAAAGTTAGACGATAGGTGAAAACATTGGGTTTTTTTGCACAACATTTTATTGTCACTATCGGTTAGCAGAGGACTTGCAGGGGTTATTTTTCTGGTTATACAAATGTGCTAATATTGCTAATTTATTTATCAAAACAAAAACTTTGTGGATTTGTTGTAAACTAATTTGCTGCTGTTAAATACTGTCTTTTCTGTCTTTTTTTAATTTTAGAAGAGATAATGAAAACTGTCATTTACCGTATGAAAATTTTGGTGTCATTACTGGACATATCACCGTACTATAAGTTGTTTGGGAACTGTGTGATTTTATAAAGCGTAAACTGTAAAACAATTGTCAATTCATGCGGAAAGAACTGTCTCTACCTTGGTGATACAATGACATTTTAATCTGATATAAAAACTTTCAATTATTTTATAGTGATCAGAAGCATTTGGCAAATTCAAACTTTCAGTACATTGAAAATTCAACTAGCTATTATCGAATTAGTTCAATTTTCTTTTCTTCATATCAACTGTATGGGCTACAAGAAGTCTATAATTTGCAAAAACAGAAAACTTAAACAAACAGTAAAATTCTTAATTTTGGCTGTTTAACATTTATCATTGTCTTTTGGTTGATAATCTTCACTCGTCTGTCTTTTTACAGCATTGCCGGAGCGGTATGATCTTGAGTTGAAAAAAGTTGCAACGCATGAGGTATTCTGCTAAAATCAGTCAAGTTTAGCACACATAATAAAAGTTATTTTCCAAACAAAATCATGTTTTTTTGAATACTTCTTAACAACGCAAAGTTTGGAAAAAATTTTCATGGATTGGTGTATTTTGTGTTGGTTTGCAGCAGTTTTCGAATACAGCCCATGAAGAATATGTCAAAACAAAACGTGCAAAAAAATGTAGCAGAAAGGTGGAAAAGAAGAATAGAAAAAACTGATTTATGAGGGTGTAAAATTGTTTCATAAAAAGAAAGGAAGAAGAAAAGTTGTTTAAAAAAAATTGTACATAATGAAGCGGGATGTTGACAGAAGCCATATTAACGGCTTTGGACTTAACGTGGTTGCCAGAGTACTAACATAGCATATTAGCAAACATAAACATTTGAAACTTATGAAGGCAAAAAAAAAAAAATTCAAAATTTTGATTATTCTTCACTGCTAACGACTACCAATATCAGTTTATAACTGCACTCTGCTTTTGTTCATAGTTATTTGCCGAATACTTTTTTGTAAAACTTTTTTGGCACTTGAGTGAATTCGGGATAGCATAGCATTTTTTACGCATAAATTTTAGTGGATTTATGCCAACTTATCTGCATCAAAGGTTAATATCGTTTTTTACGTCACTTCAACTATCACAAACTTAACTAATTTTTGATGGTTTTCTATAACAGTATTAAAGCTGTCAAAAATGCTAAACTATATATTATCAAGCTGTTTACTCTAAATGAATACAACACTGTTTTTAGCAACTTTTCACCTGTAATTTACTAGACAAGATTAAGACATAACGACAGAGAGATCTGCTACAAATACAGTTTATTTGATAACTGCATTAGCATTATTGTTGTTTTGACCAAATTTTAACACTTTTAATCTACTAAAAAAAATAAAAAAAAAAAAAAGCAGTTTATACAGTTGTTTGGATTCTAATTAAATCATCGCTTCAGTTACAGATGTTTACAATTTATTCGAAAATTCTGGTTTCAAAATTTTATTTTCAATCATTTCTTTCGGTGTTTTCATTTATCAGTGAATAATTAATTTTACGCCTAAGCTTAGTATTTTGTTGGAACTAGCTATGATTAATTGTGTCAATTTGAAGCCTGAAAGGTATTTTTTTTTCTCTCAAACATTGATATATATTTATACCTATAAAAAATTTGATTCCGACACTGGAACTGGTGTTCTTTATTTTATGCTCTTTGTTCTCTATAAAATTAACTTTATTTATAACAAAGTTGTAATTTTCTTACAAAAACTAACTGTATCGAAATGTTTTATAGTGATAATTAGCAAATATTTTCGCTTGGTCATTTTATTGTCACCTGGTTTTTCAAAAAAATTTTTTTCTTTGTTGAAGCCTGCACCTAGATAACATTATAGTTGTGGTTGCTATAGAGAATTTGATTATGTTTTTTAATTTAATTTAAGCATAACGTCTTATGAAAAGTAAGGTAGCCAGGAAGATTAGGTGTCGCTGAGAAATAAGTAAATTTTGGTTAGCTGTATCATTGAAATTGTGCTGCTAAGTTAACGGATTCTTATTTTCAATTATAAGACATTCTTTGCTCTATTCATACTAGGTAGACGATAGCACACATATGAATTGAAACAATCCATCTAATTCATTCATCTATAACTGACATTAAGCACGTGTAATAAAAATTTTGTGATTTTTGAATAGAAAGTTTTGGTTTTTGAATTGTTGAGAAAATGCTATAATGGTCTGCCATCAGAACAAACTATCATCTACAATACTGCTGCTTCTTCTGTTTTCACCAATTACGTCTTTTATACCTGTATCTGTGTATCGTATTTAACCAACGACAACCAATTTTTTTTAATCAAAAGCGTGCTTATTTTCAATCTGATTATTTTTTTAAATTATGCGAAGAAAAGCTTCTAACTCAAGTCACAAACAGTTCGTAAAGATGATGATCGTTATTGATGTCTTGTAGAGTAGGAATTAAAAGTTTCACTGTGAAAAAATTGTGCGGTATTGCTTCAAAACCTTCCTTTCACCTTCTTTTATTATTCGATATTGTTAAAATTTTAAGTTTTTAACGATTTTGAATAGGCATTTAATGCATTACAGTCAACAGTAATTATTTGTTGAACGTTGTTTTGCAGTTATGATCTTTCACAGATCGTTGTGGACAATTGTAGCGATTATAGCTGCCAACCAGTGTGATTTCTGTGCACCTGCAGGTTAACGTTGAATTTTTTTAAACTACAAATTTTGAGTTTTACCTTATTGCAATTTTCTTAAACTTATATTTTCTCTATTCTCCATAAACATACCAAATTCAATAGAACAAGTTGACGGGAGAAAAATAAAGTTGTCACAGTATCAACAACTTGTACTGTTAGGGTTTTCCATTTGTTTCAGTTAAAAGTAAATCTGTAAAGTTCAAGATTTTGTTAAGAAATATTGGTTTTTTTTGTTTTTATTTATTTTTTTTTTACAACTTTTCAGTAGAATTTTTATGACTTATTTTAAACGAGTATTTTTTTTAAAAAATTTGACTGCGTCGAAAAAATTGTAATAGTATTGAACAAGATAATAATATTTTTTTGAAAATGAGCTTTTATTTAACTGATTTAGATGCTGTTCAGGTAACTGCAGTAGCAGACCTTCACAGAATGCTTGAGATTTTTTCAGTTATCGTTTCTTAACCCTGATTTTGGCTTCAAGAATAGCAGTTTACGTAGCTTTAATTATTTAATTTTAAATCATGAAAAAATTTTTGAAACACAGAAGTAAAAACCGGATTAGACGGGTAAGAAGCAATTAAATAAGCCAAAAATTACGCTTTGCAATGAACAACGCTTTCAGAAAAAAGTTTTTTTGGTCTACCATCTTGCAGTCTGCTGCAACTGATTTTTGAGCTTTTAAACTTTAGTCGTTCAGCCAATGAAAGAGTTTCTGAAGTGGTTAAAAGCTAAAAGAGAAAAAGTAAATCTAGAAAAACAGGGTCATTCACTGTACATGCAGACCTAAAGTAACGAGTAACTCAGCATAAAAGGTCTTCTAGCATTTCACTTTCATTGAACTTTTTTCAATTTTTCTACACATTCACAGTTGCATTTTTTGTCCACTTCAAATTCAAATCAGACTGTTTTCATTTGTAATTTAGAATTAGCTTATAGTCAATTTAATAATTCATAGTGATCACTTGTAAAACGGGGTAGGTATTTTCGTTTTTTTTTTTGTCATTTCCAAACTAAAACGCACTGTTTTCTGCAAAAACTGTAAAATCGTTATCGATTAAGGATTAAGGATCATTTTCTCATAAAGTTTCTTGATTAAATTTTAAATAATTGACAGCGAAATCTGTGTTTTCTCAATATACAGCAGTAAATGCATTCTAAAGAAATAGTAATAGTTTTATTTGCCTATTTTTTTTTTGAACTGTTAATGTAAAATGAGTAGTCATTAGGATGACCACTGAAAGAGCAGTTTTTGACAAAAAATTCACTAATCGTATTCGTATAAGTGAAAAAAAGTTTTTTATTTATTTCAGTTTCAAATCTTTTAAATTAGGTTGCTTTTCAATAACTGTATAATTCAATTCATTGACACGTTAGAATGTTACGCACAAATCATAAAAAAAATTTGCTGTCAGAGCTATTATTTTTGAAAATATAAAAAAACGAAAACAATGATTATATTTACAAATCTGTCTATTGTCAATTCAGTTAAATAAATGAAAAAGCCCTACGCATTTTTATGCTTATTTATCAGCAAAACTTTGATAAAGAAGGCTAAGATTTTGTTTTCTTTTTACAACTCGTATTTATTTTTAAATTTTAGCTTAACTGTTAGTAACTGGGTGGTTGAACTGTTCTAATGACTTGATCTTTTAACAACTGAAATACTTTTATTATTAATTAGGAGTTATTGCTTGTACAAAGGAATACATATAAGTTCAAAAAAGAAATTTAATTACTTGTATACGTTTTACTATAAAGCTACTAGCATATTTATCTTATTTGGCTTACCGTTTTTCGATTGCAATTTGTTTATAGGTTTAAGTTCTTTAAGGTGAATTCGCGACAGTGTGCTGCTTTTAAATAGTGCGCTCCTCAGAAGTCAGATTAAACAAAAAATTTATATTTTTTGTTTTTACTATTCTTACTAATTTATTTTTCGATGTTTTGCTTTTATCAGGTCTATCATAATGCTTTTCTGTTGTAATATCTGACAACATTTACAGTGACAACGGCAACGTTGGACTGGTTCTCCAGTTCAGTGCCTAATGGTCCACTGTGCTACGATTCCTATATAAACAGTTTTATTACTTGTAGAAGCGACGAATATTGCCTGAACTCAACTCGATATTTAGGATCTATACCAGTTGAAATTGACTTTGCCTGCAAGTTAAAAAGTCAGTTATTGCCTGATTCTGTCTGTGAAACGAGTATAATAGACAAGTATACTTGAAAGAAAAAAAACTGCTCTGGAGTTCATCAGAGGTTAAAATCAGCAAAATAGTTCATAGACTAATTAAAACTCAAAAGTGTTTTCTAAACCCGAAATTTGTTGCCAGGCAATGTTTCATAAAGTTATGGTAACGAATCTGTGTAATTACTAAACAACGTTGTCGGGAAATTTTTTAAACCTGTTCTTAACCGCTAGTAAGAAAACAACGTTAGACTGAAGTTCAAAGTTTAAATAAGGTTTCTAGAAGTTTGTACGACTACTGCCAATGAACTGTTAAAAATAATAATCTCTATCGACAGCAAAGTAACAAATATTTAGGGTAATTTTAAAATCAAAACTATTATACGGTGAATTGACTGTCGCCATCTTTGCAAGCTGAAAGCAGCAAAACTTTATTACATTCAAAATTTTTTACAAATATTTATCTTACTTCTTAACTTATTGCAGAATATTACTTTATTTTATTAAATACAGGTGGTGAGATAGTTTGACAAAATTAATAGCTGCTAATATGGCTCAACAATAAATTAAATTTTGAAAAACTTCACTTAATTTTATTCCATAAGCTTCTAAGCATTAAAAAAATTTAGTCTATGTTTTGGAGCTGAAAATTCAACCTGGTGAATGTAAAAATGTGAAAAAAACACGAATTTGTTGCTGTAATACAGACTTCTGTAATCGTCCTGAATTAGCATCAATTGAAAGCGGTACGAGTGTAAAACCAGAAGCAAATACTTCGGCAACGACGAGAAGCATCGAAGCTTCAGTGGTGACATCAAGTTCTATAAAAATAAGTACTGTTATTAGTGAAAAAATAATTCATAAGAGAAAATGACTATTGATTTTAACAAAAACATTGTTTTTTTACAGTCAATTATACAGCAGCAACAACGACAATACCATCAAACTTAACATCTGCTGAAACGACACAGTCTTCAGTAAGATCACCAAACTTCTCTGAATCAACCGGTGCAACGATAACAAGATTACAATTTATAACTTCACTTCCATCTAAAAAACCATCTTTGGGAAGTACATTAGGTAAGCAGTCAACAGTAGCAGCTGTAACTTTTATGTACAGTTACAATAAAGAGCACTGTTTAAAATAAGATAATAAATATTACTAAGTAATACAAGTCGATTAGAAATAACAAACTGTTGTTAATTCGTAGGCACCTTTCCGGTTTAACCATTTTAAATTCTTTTAGGTACAGTAGAAACTGTTACTAACATACCGCTTTCTTTGTTACTCTTTTTTTTTTTT